ATACACTGTCCATGTTGAATTATTGAAATTGTGCATCTTTTAGTTAACACTACTTTACTACCGCTGGAGTGAGTTTGAAGAGGGAAGAGGGAAGAATGGATAAACCTCTTAGAAATACCTACTGACAAAACACAACAAAAGTGATATTGTAGATACACAAATGCTCTTGTTTAACCATCTAAATATATGATTTTGTTTCACCTGTAACTTAGTCTGTGTATATTCTTTCTTTTGTACATCAGCAGGTTTAGATGATGTAGCAGCTGGAGCAGGAGCAGAGGGGGGTGGAGCAGTTGCTGTATTGGTTTTAGCAAACTTGGCGGCTCTTTCTGCTTTGTCTCTTGCAATCTGTTCCCTCACTCGTTCCCTAATGTAACAAAATTAATAATTTAATATACTACAAGTTACAAGTAGCGGTGTAGTCCAATAGTAAGCTTTCAATTGTAGAACGTAGAACGAGAACACAGAACGAATTCACTCATCTTGTGCATTTTACGTTCTACTGTAAATCGACTTCAATGTTTTACGACAGTGCCACCTACGTGGAGATGTCGCAAACATGAATTGTGACACGCCAATGTATAATACAGTCCTCATTCTGGCTTGAACGTAAATTTGGCTGACAACCGTTCACACATGCGCAGTTAAATTAACATGACGTCATTACGTTCTACATCGTTGCAAGCTCCCAAATATGGTCCAAAATAATAACACTAATTACAATAAAATCACTGTACTTTTATCAGTAATGTTTTAATATACAGGTAGTGTATTATAAATGGATTATAAGAAATATAATGTAAGTGTACTTGGCTTTCTTTTCCTCCAATTTTTCTCTTTTTTTGAGTTCTGCTTGTCGTTTCATTTCATCCATTTCCATTCTATAAACAAATAACAATAACATCAAGTAAGTTTTAGAAATTACTTGAGTACACAATCACATTTTAAAATTCGAAACAATTCTGCAAATTACATATAAAACACACAAAATGAAAAAGGAGAGTAAGAACGCATATTTTTATTTGGGAGGAACAGACAGTTCCATTATTTGTTAAGGGATGTATGTGTCTCCTCTACAATAAGTAAGTGAATTTATCTTACTGCTCTTTAATTGAACTCAGTTCTTTTCCTTGTTTTCTCCGCATTTTCTCCTTCTCTATGTTATCTTTCTTTTCCTTTTCTAACCGTTCAGCTTGTTTCTGCTTCAAACGTTCCTGAATCCTATAAATAAATGCAAAATTTATTATTCAATGTAATCAGTTGTTCATACCCTACATAGGACCATTATCCAGAGGTGCATACAACAAGTGATTAATTTAAATTCCTATCAACTTACTTGGCTAATTGCTCTTTCTTCTCTTCTTCTGTAAGTGGTTTTATTTCTTCTGTAGACTCAGAAAATCCAGAATGACCAGTTCGAGCAGCATGCATCTGAAATTTAAAAGTAAAGTAACTTAAGTTGAGTAAGTTGGAAAGTTGGATGGAGACTTTTGGCAGCACAGAACATCACCGGTCCTCAACACCTACAAGACATTGTTATAGAGCTCAACACCTACAAGACATTGTTATAGAGCTCAACACCTACAAGACATTGTTATAGAGCTCAACACCTACAAGACATTGTTATAGAGCTCAATATTTTGAAAGAGACATAAAGTTGTTG